AATCAAATATTCGCGGGAAGCAGGGGAGGGGGCGGAGACTTTGGGGAGGGGGAGGGGTTGGGCGGGGCTGGGGGCGGGGCTGGGGGCGGGCCCGGGGGCCGTGGAGTGTCCTCCATTTGGAGGCACAAAATATGGTAACCCTATTTTTAGAGCAAGGAACCTTAGCTTTGCCTTGTCTGGTGGCAGTTTGTAAAGCATGGTTGTGAAGCCTCTAGAGATTCATTATAAATAGTTAAGGTGACATTGTCCGTGGGACCAGAGTGAGACAGTGTTGTCCTGACCCTGACAGGCAGAGTGGGAGCCAGACCTTTTTCTCTTAATTGCAGCTGTTTTTTATTTTATTTTATTTTAAAGAGGCTAGAGGCAGGAGGAGGAGTGGGGGGGGGGGGGCGGCTGGCGGTGGTTGCGAGTACCCTGGCCAGCAGAGAAAACAGACCAGTTGATAAGGGCAGTAGAAGTGTGAGAGAGAAGCTGGAACTCATCAACTGATGGCGTAACTGGGCATGATAACGCTGGGTTGCCAAGAGATGATCTCTGATGGAGGAAAACAGAGTGAGGCTGATTGACTTATGGAGGGAGGCTGCCCCAAGGAACACTTGTGGGCTCGGTGAGCCAGAGTCACAGAGGATGTAGCAGGAGCTCAGATGGAGCCCAGGATCATTTGAAACATTAAGCCCACGAAACCTCTGTGCTGGCACAAGCTGATCTTTTGCTGTTTTTTTGATTTGCCTCTTCAGATTTGCTTATCTTGTTGAAAAAGCTGGACACTGTTCTCTAAGCGACGCACCCTATTGGTGAAGGAGAGTAGCGAACTAGACAGACTCCTGTGGTTCATCCTGCCAAAATGAGGTGCATGGGGAAAAATAGGCAGCACCTCAATGTGCCAAATGATCCTGGCATTTCACTGGGGTTCCTGCCTGTTTGTTGTGTGTGATGTGGATAGACCCAAACAATCCAAGATGTACATATTGTGAACATTGGCAACAATACGGGCCTAACAGTGTCTTGGACAGGACAGTGATCCTTCTTGGCTTCAAGCTCCTTTACAGTCCAACGCATCATAAATACCTTTTTGAACATTCTGTTAACCATGCCTCATAAAATCCTTATCTTACAGGCTTACGCGGTAGTTTTAAGGATGATCCTCTGCAGTCCAGGCAAGCCCATAGCAGCCTCTCCCACGGAGCTGCAGATTGTTTTCAAATGTTGATTTAAGTTTTAGAATTTGTTTTATTACGTGATAGTCTTAAAACTATGTTTTTATGGGTGAATATGCTCCAGTGTAATAAAACTGTGCTTATTTTTCTGTCTACTCAATGAACTAAGAATAAAATGCCTCGAGGGACTATATACATTTAATGGATTTTCTGAATTAAAAAAAAAAACCCCTCAGATTAAAATCATAGACTTTGGTGGTCCTACCCAATAGCCTGTTACTGACACTCACACACAACTTGGAAGTAATATTTTTAATGCTGTGACTTCTGCTTTCAGAGTACTCGTCTAGTGAAAATTAGGGTTTCTACTCAATTTTGGGATCCATGCACACCTCACGTATGCTATTTTCACTCTGTGGTGAGAATTAATATAGTGTACATTAGAATCACTGCTCTCATCCTCTCCAGGAGCTGCCTCACTGTTGCTGACGGTAAGTCTACTACTTTATATGACAGCTCTGAATTTTTCACTGTCATTAATTATGCCTGCACTATTATCATGCTCATTTTTGCAGATTTAGGTGTATATCTCTAATTGTTTAATCTTGTAATTTCCTCTTTTGCTATTGAGTAGATGAGAAGAATAAGCTTGTCTGCTATATCTATAACTAGAATAGATTATGGAGGCAACTCTTTACTGTTAGTGCTGATGCAGTCCTTATTTGGAGTGCAAATGGTCAACACATTTCTTTATCAGAAATAAGTACCATTGGTCTAATATCTTAATTGCTAATAATAATTTACTTCATGTATTTTCAGATTGTACTAACTGCAAGACTGTTCACTTTGAATATTGAAGCATCTGCAAACAAAGATTGAAGGAATGAGAGTCTGTAGCAGAGAAAATAGGTGAACCAAAGGAAACACTAAAGGGAGGTAGGAAAGAGATCCCCCAGTGGGGGGAAAAGGTAATTAGAATGGAAAAGAGGTGATGGAAGGAATGATTCTGAACCCTTGTTCATTGCGTTGCAGTGAATCGGCAAGAAAGGTACTGGCAAGCTGATTGGCAGAAAAGCTCAGTAGTGATGGAAAACAGAGAGAGAACAAATACAACATAAAGGTAATGGTTTAGTACAACATATGACTGGACCAGGCAGTCCATAGGGGAGATACAATAAATCAACTGCAGCGATCACTATACATGGGTAAATCAAGGACTAAGGTGAAGTAGCTTCTGTATAGAATGTTGCTAGGGCTATAGCAGAATGGGAGAGCCACTCTGGAATGAAGAAAAGTGTGAATCATGCCAGTACATGAAATGGAGAGTGGAATGCAAATGTACAAAAATAAATTTGTTTTTAAAGTATGGCAGCCAAAGTATTTCCTCTCTCTCTCTCACACACACGCACACAACAAAGCAGAGAGAGTGATAATGCTATAGGTCACAGTGGTTTCCAATTCAAAGAAAAATATGGCACCCAGACTTTTACTCACAACTAGTGGAGGAAAGATTTGGATTTATGAATAAATATTTCTTGGGTTTTAAAAATAAATGCAGAAAGGAAGATTATGGGAAATTCAGAGCAGCTGAGTCCCTAGCGAGATAGGGGAAATTAACAGGAAAACGATGTGAAGGAATGCAAAGGTGTGAAGGTTGGAAATGATACTTCATTATGGTGTCAGGTAAAGAATGGGGTATGGCAAGGCTGCATCCTATCTTCTGGGCATAAGATAACAGGAATTACCACCCTGGATCAGACCCATGGTCCATCTAGTCCAGTATCCTGTCTCCAACAGCGGCCAGCACCAGATGTTCAGACGGAGGTGTAAGAAACCATGTGTTAGGCTCCTGCAGCAACAGCTTTAAAAAACTCCCCAAATCTGATGTGAGAAAATGACCTGATGTGAGTTTAGTGACAGAGGTGAAACCTTTGTTACAGTTGTGCTGGACAGAGCAGAAACATGGGAGCTGACACACATACGTCTAGATCCTGCAAAAACTTGTGCATGTTTTAAACATCAGCAGTCCCATTGAGAAGTGCATCATGGATAGATTTATTGGAAGCTATCTCAAGAAGACAAGTGGGAGTGAGGTGATCTAGAGGAATGACTAATAAGAAGATATGGGGAGTTAAGCACAGTTAAAGAAGTTCAGTGAGCTGGCCGATCCATTAGGTGAGCGGGTTACAGCTGGAGCATAAAATCAGATAAAATAACAGGAAGAGTTGAGTGATGGCAATCAGAGGGAGGAAGACCACCAGGAAGACTGAAATGTGAAATGGAATGGTCCTGTAACACTGAGCAAGGAACGAGATTGGAGCAAAAGGGGACAGAAAATGCAATGAATGAAATTGCTCAGATCTCTGCTTCAGAACTGAAGTTATGAATATTACTTCTCAGTACTTGTGTTGGGATTATGTCCTAGGTTATTTGCCTTACAAAATAATCAAGTTAAAAAAGTACATGCCATAAAGCACTAGAAAAAAAAATGGTTATAGGTTAGGTATGTTGAAAAAAGTAGCTTGGAAATAAACTAATACAGAGAATATGCGTAACTAAATATATGGACTAATAAGATTAGAACAATCACAGTAAGGCTAGGTCTACACTACCTGCCTGAATCGGCGGGTAGAAATCGATCTCTCGGGGATCGAATTATCACGTCTCGTCGGGACGCGACAATCGATCCCCGAATTGACGCTCTTACTCCACCAGCAGAGGTGGGAGTAAGCGCCGTCGACAGGGAGCCGCGGAGGTCGATTTTGCCGCCGTCCTCACAGCGGGGTAAGTCTGCTCCGATAGGTCGAATTCAGCTACGCTATTCACGTAGCTGAATTTGCGTATATTAAATCGACCCCCCCTGTAGTGAAGACCTGCCCTATGAGAGTGAGGCACAGTTGCAAACATAAATGTGTGGGCATATACCACAATCTTCCAAACTAACTCTGTGATTACTAATCTTTAAAAACAACTCCCCTTTAACTCAAGCACAAAGATCTATACATTATCCATGGTTCTCACACAAAAATGACTTGCATACAAACTTTTACAAATTTGGCCCACTGTGACCAAACTTTATTACCCATTTCATGGAGCTGTGACAAAAGTCTAAGAATCAAACAACTTGGGGATCACAGAGGCTATTATGTTTATTGTGCCGAACAGACTGTGATAATCCATTAAAGGACCATTTTCAACAAGCAAGCGATTCAAAGTACAATCATAGACAGCAACTCTACATGAAGAACAAAGCAAAAAAGGAACAGGAAAACAGTAAACCGCAGTTAAACATCTTGAAACTTGTTTCCTGCAAACATACCTATCTTGCAGAAATGGTAGAAAAGTTTAATGTCCAGTTTTATTTACTAGTGACCAATGACAGCAAAGAACAGTCCTATAAAATTTATCTCCCATAAAAATAAACTATATATATAAAAAATTTTATGATGTTCTCACTGTTTCAATGGCCACGAGCAGTTTTCAGTCTGAAAAATGAGGTATAGTAGGCCCTAAGAGGTAGTAATGTGTTTTGATTGTACTACAATATATAGACAATATAAGATGAACTTCATCAGAGTTGTAAGTCCCTCGGAGCTTGATCCACATGCATCAACTACTTCTGTTTCATCTGTTGAACATGGTGTTTTAAAAAAAACCCAAAATGCATTTGTTGAACATGAAATTGTTAGGACCCGATCCAGTGTCCTTTGAAGTCAACTGGAGTCCTTCCATTGACTTCAATGGGCAATGGATGCAGTCTTTAATGAACTACAGAATGGATATGATTAGCCCTCGTTTAGTTAACATTAACATGTCTAGTTTTAATACTCTGATCAGCTCTTTCTCGGCAGTCCCCAAGAATGAGCCTTCTGCAGTCTTTTGAGGAGATCCTTGTTTCTTGATGTCATGTCTTTGAAGAAGCCAGTAAGTAGTTATCTTTAGGTGCATTTGACTCAGTACTAAAGCCATACCGATAGAAGCCTTCCTGAGAAACTACCCCCGGCCCAGTTAATAATACAATGTCACAAAGCAGATGTACTGACTAGGAGAGAGAGCGAGAGGGGGAGAGAGAGAGAGGAATAAAAAATCTCTACATAAGAAGCATTTAAAATAAATCAGGTTTGAAACATTACAAAAATCACATTTGTGTAAAATACATGAAAATACTTGTCAAGTATTTCCTTACAATCTACTAATTTAAAAAAAAACAAAAACACATATTTGTGATTGCATTATGCAAAAGCTGAGCTTGTTGCTTCCCACCTACAAAGCTTCAAGTTTCTTTGAAGGTTTTTTTTTTGTTTTTTGTTTTTAATATGAAAGTAATTTAAAATGTGTTCATTTCCAGCAAAGTTCTTTTACAAAAAATAGTTTTGAATTAGGGATTAGTTGCAGTCCTAACTGTTTCAAACATCTCAAACTAATGCTGAAAGTAACAAGTTCATTCCATTTAAAGTCTGGAGGTAGGTCTTTGTCAATCGATTAGTCCATTTCTTTAAACAATTCATTTGAGGTACAAACTTGGACAGTAATATTTAAACATTACAACTAATTTTTTTCTATGTCATGTAGTGTCATTGAAAATTATCCTTACAAACCTATGAGTATTCAGTACAAAAATATATTCAAGTTAACAGTACATTACACAGAAATCTAGCAGAGAATAGGAATAAGTACATTAAAAAAAGAAAAATACATAGTCATGCTGAAACACATTAAAAATATTGCGTCATTAAGTGTTGAAGAAAAAATAAGGAGAAAATAGAGATATTCATGATTATTTACCCAATAATAATTTCTTGCATTGTATGTGTATAGCAGCATGTATTTATCAGGCTGTTGACTTAATTGTAAAAATCAGAGGTAGTATTGAATAGTGGGGTAATATTGCATCTGTTGCTAAAAGTGCTGTTCTGAGTGAAAAAGATGGAGAAATGTCACTGGAGTAAAACTGCCCAGTGAACCATCCTATGTCAAAGTATATTGCTTAAAGTAATACACAAGCTCACTTGAGGTACATGATGTTGATTCTTACATCAAAACTGGTGAGTAATGAGAAGAGATTCATTCCCTTTGAAATATTGATACATGATGGGTGAAATTAGGTGAGGTCAAACAAAACATTTTTTTCTTGGTTCAGATAAATTCCTGATTCATTCTGGGATAACTTTTCATGATTTTTTCCTCCAAAACCACTGTAATTGATAAATCTATGTCTTTATATGGCTTGAGAGTGTTTTGGTGTTAGTCACCTCTAGTTTTGTAAAAATGTCTGGCTCTGCGGAAAGCTGAGTCTACCTGAATTTCTAGTTTCCTGAAGATGAGTGCTGTGAGTTTTGTTTATTACTACTTCTGCTGATATGTTTGTATCTGTAAGTATACAACGTATCTTTGTCTTTCTTCCCTTTTGCAAAATGAAAGTACCTATTTTTCCTTTCTTTTGATTATTGGCTGAATTAAGTGAAAAATTAGCTCTCAATTCTTCCTGAAATAACAGTAAGTTTAAAAAAAAAATCAAGTACAAATCTACAAGAAGGTTACAAAAAAAAAAGAGTAGTATCTATCCCTTATCTTTGGTGTTCTAAACAGGGAGTTTACTAAGCTAGGGAGTGGGTTCTTGGAGGTGTTGTAAGGCCAATGATGTCACACACCAAGCCTTTCCTATTTCAATGCCCATTATAATTATGTTACAAGTCTCTTGTTTATATGCAGTGCAGTGAATGACTTAAATCTGATTCAAAGCTTTCCTGACCCAGTCACCCTTACTTAGCAGCTCAAACAAACTATTAGTAGGTTAAGAAAAAAGAAAACAGTAATTAAAAGTTGCATCGGTAATCTGTGTCCCCTTTGTGTTACAGCAGTTTTTCACTAAACCTGGGACTGTGAAGGGATTACAAAGGTGATTAATATAGTCTTTTTTAAGGTTATGTGATTTTTTTTCCCCCCAGGCATAAGTGGAAAGACCATGGCATAGAAAATAAGTGGTCAAGGCAGCGTCTTCTCCCTTCAAAAGACCCAACTGCTGATGAGGTAGAAATCGAATGGTGTGGTCTCCTAGTCTTCCTCTGCAGATTCTTGTGAGGACGTCTCTTCAGTTTCTTCAGTCTCTTCCTGGAATACACAAAATAAATAATTACCATTGTGTCTATGCCTTTCAGTTACAAAGGCAG